TTAATACTAAACCAAGAACACTATCCGGCTTCATCTTACTACTTATATAACCAAATCGAGTCAATAGATTCATTCGAAATGAAGTTCCCCCTAACAATAAAACTAAGTAGTCATAGCTAACTATTGCTTCATGCATGTTGTTTACGAGACGGCAACAATGTCTACTAATGGTAGGGAATACTTCACCATAAAAACCAAGCTCGAATTATTATTACTCTTCGCCTACTGCAAACCCTCATATCAGCTTAGTAAAATTGCACTTCTTTGTACGCTATTTAGTCTTATATTTGATAACTTCCTGGTGATCACTATAAACCCGCTATTAGTGTGTCCGCTTCTATAAAAACAATATGTTAAAATTTACCTTGGTACTTTCACTTATATATATAATATCCTGATTACATGCCAACTTAATACCCACCTTTGATTCCGAAATTATTTTTAATTTTTATATTTTTACAGGATAAAGGGATCACTTGTGATATTCTAATTGCTCTCGCTTCACATCCATTGCCTCAGAATCGAGATTTTTTGGTGCAACTACCTGGTTTGCTAAATACTTTGGCTCTGAATTCTCGTGGAATAGAGGCAATTCTACGCAGTCGGGTTCTAGAGCAATACTTAGGGACTTTGGTGCAAATAGAATATCTTCCTACCATGAAATCAAAACGTGTCCGTGATTTCCTATCGCATATGTCATGCAATATGTCAAATGCGGGTTCTAGTCAAAATCTCTCAAACAGTCTGACTGCTAGCCTTATGAGTGGGGCCGTGCTTGAATTACTTCGTTCACATCATGAGCTCAAGCCTGTGATTTTTAAGTCTCTTGTATCGGTAAGGAAATTACCAATTAGCTGCACTTTTAAGCATTAACTATTATATGCCTATTTATTTCTATCTTTTAAGTTTACTCATTTTTAAATAAAATCTATTTTATCCAGCCTTAGCTATTATTTTAACCATAGATACTCAATATGAGCATAAAGATGAATGGATAGGATTTCTGACTCCTGCGAGCATCCGTATGAAAATCTGGGAATCAATTTGACCGCCCATTAAGCAGCCCTTTTTTTGGCTTGTATTTTTTCTTGGATAAAGTAGCTGGTAGTACTGCCTGGTCCGATTAATTGTTTTCTAATATTAGGAATATATATATATATATATAATCCTG